CTCTTTCTGACACGGACACCCACGGGGAGTAGGCCAACTTCCTGATGAATGCCTGGAAAATAAAAGGAATTAAATAATCAGCCACTTTTGCACATATGCACACAACACCATGAAAAAAAACTCCAAATAACCTCCAGCCATGAGGAGGTTATGTTTGTCATATGTTTGTCAAACAAATGATTCCTTCTGTGCCACACTTTGGGCTTTTTCTGCAGAGTTCAGGGTATCTAGGTATCCTAGGCTGACTATGTGATGCTTTTATCTCCCAAATTTGCCCTAAACCAGGACAAATACAATTGTTCCTTCTTTTTCATTCCTGAACATCACAGAACCCTTGAAAGGTTTGAGTGAGAAGGGATCTTAAAAAATCATCACATTCCAATCCCCTGCCATGGCAGGGACACCTCCCACTGTCCCCAGTGTCCAGCCTGGCACTGTTGGGCACTGCCAGGGATGCAGGGCCTGCCCACCCTGCCAGGGTGAGCCGAGTCTTGTCACTCTCCCAACTCTTGCAGTCACCTCTATCACAGCTGAGCAATTTTAATGTCCTTTAGAAATTATCTTTTGAAGCAATTTTCACAATTTTAACATCCCAAGCCCTGTATTCCCCTGCACTTCAGAGGATTATTCAATATTTGAAGCATTCATCAAGTTGACAATAAAAAATAAATAAACCTTAGATATTCCTTAGTAATGTGTTCAGCAATTGTTGGGATGTGAGTGATGACAAGGACATGATAAGCAAAGGACAGAAACTCGGGGAAGAAGTCTTAGAAAAAAGTGACACCCATTTGCTCTGGATATGTTTGTAGAAAATGGAAAATATTTGTGCTGAAAAACCCTAACTAATTAAATGTAAAAGAAATCAGAGACTCTAAAAAAAGAACAAGTAAAAAAAGATAAAAGATAGAAACAAGAAATCTTGTTATTTGTGACTGAAATTTAGTGGCACAATTGTTTGTGAATGACATTATCCATTTAAATTCAATCTATGGAAATAAACTAGCTGGCTCTGGAGTGGCTCCCTCTGTGCTTGATCACAGAGAAAGTCCAAGAGAGATTATTTTATTATTATTATGAAACAGTGGAACAACTCCTCCAGTCTCTCCTCACAGGGCAGCTTCTCCAGCCCTCTGCTCACCCCTGGATGTTCCCCCTGAGCAGGGTGAGATGATCCTCTCTGTGAGTAACTTGTCACAGAAGTAGCAAGGAGTGGTTTTGAACATTTGTTCTGAAGATCAGACAAAGCTTAGCAGCCTAGAGAGCATCTTGGACTGAGGTAAACCACAAATGCAAGCACTCTGTGCTGTTACAGAACTTGTACCTAAAGCACAGGGCTGGAAATCCCAGCTGCTAAACCTCCTCTGAGAGCTGTTACATACCAGGCTCTGAGGAAGGGAGAACTTTGGGAAAATGAAACCTGCTGCATGCACACACTTCAGGACTGCAGCAATGATCAGCGCGACACAGACGGCACCTGCCACTGCAGCTTCATGGTACCCTGGAGTGAAAAAACCAAATAAACACACATGGAGGAAGTGTCCCACCACCACATTCCACATCTGGCAGTCACAACAGCTAGCAGGAATCCCCAGTAATTTTGGTCAGAAGGGATCTGTGAAAGTTAAAGTCAGAACAAGACCAAATCCCAAATTAGCTTCAGGAGTTACAAAAGAAGTGACTCCATCTTTCTGCTGAGCTAGTGGAGATCTGTATGGCTCAGGGGACTGCCAAGAGATTCGTTCCCTTAAAGTGCTGGGGGTTTATATTTCACTCCTAAATACCCACAATGGTTCTCTCTTGGGATGTTTCTCTCTGCCAGTGAGAGGCAGCACCCAGGGAGCAGCTGGGGCTGGGCCTGCAGGGATTTAGGTTGGGTTTTAGGGAAAGGTTCTTGCCCAGAGGGTGCTGGCACTGCCCAGGGAATGGGCACGGCCCCGAGGCTGCCACAGCTCCAGGAGCCTTTGGGATGCCCAGGCTGGGCTTGGTGGGCTCTGGGCTGGCAGGGCTGATCCCTGGGGGTCCCTGCAGCTCAGGACATTCTGGGATTCTGTGATCATTTGTTTTTCAGGACTGAACTGTAAATGTCCCTACACCAAAGAACACAGTGCACACCCAGCCCAGCCCCCTGCCCACAGCCCCATCACCTTGCTGAGCCTCTGAGTCTGCAGTGACACATTTCCAGGGGGAGGGCACAGAATTCTTGTTCAGGGATGCAGTGACCCCCACGGACAGGCAGTAATTCCTGCTGGGATACAACTCCTCAATGACAACACTGAACACCTCCTCAGTGGTTCTCTGCCGTGGCCTCTGCCATGAAAAAACAATGGTTTGAAGTCAGTGATTGGCTGGAAGAGCCCCTGCTCCCTCCCCCTGACCTGCCCCCTGCAGGAAAAGGAAGCTCAGATTCTGCTGGCCATGCTCTCTCTTTTCTTCTAAGAAATCTATTTCTATGTTTTCTTTTGCTTCCATCCACATATTTGGTTTTGGGAGCCTGTTAACCACCAGAGCCATTTCATGCCCTCTATGTCCCTCCTTTAAAGCACAACTATTCCCAAATTTCCCTACCTTGTGCTCTCCATCCTGTGACTTCAGGGTGATATCATAATCCAGCTCTTGATAGATATCAATTAAAGACTGCAGCTTCCCATTCTGTCTGAAGTGAGAGGCTGGCAGCTTTATGGTGACATTGAGGCAGTTTGGACAGGAAGTGACATTCACTTCTGGTGGTCCCAGAATTGCTGTTGGAAAACAAGAGAGAGGAAAAAAATGATGGAAAAATACAGTTCTACTTTATCCAGGACAATTCCATTTCTGTGATGCACACAGGGCTGGCTCAGCACACTCCAGAGAGGTCACTGCTGTAAATCCACAAGGCCTTGCAACATTTAACCTCCACAGCCAAACCATCATTTCCCACAGGGCCAGACTTCAAAGGAAAAGGAGTGGAAGGAAGAAGCAGAAAGGGAATAGAGGCTTTACTCCAGCTTCACAGAGATGTGATCTTTGTATCTACATGAGATTAAAGCTGAGGTTAAAGTACAGAACAGAATCCTGGAATGGTTTGGGTTGGGAAGAACCTCAGAGCCCACCCAGTGCCACCCCTGCCATGGCAGGGACACCTCCCACTGTCCCCAGTGTCCAGCCTGGCCTTGGGCACTGCCAGGGATGCAGGGGCAGCCCCAGCTGCTCTGGGAATTCCATCCCAGCCCCTGCCCACCCTGCCAGGAACAATTCCCAATATCCATGTAACCCTGCTCTCCTTCAGCTAAAACCCATTCCCCCTTGTCCTGCCCTTTTTATTAAACCAACTGCAGGGACAGCAGGGCTCCTCCTCAGGATGTTCTCCTTGTCCCATTCTCCCAATTCCCTCTGTGTTCCCTCGTTGCTGACCCTGCAAGGGGACACAGCAGCTGCCTCTGCTGAGCTCAGAGCAAACACCATCACTTCATCCTCCACAGCTCTCCAGCTGCTGCTCAACATCTCTTAGCTCTGTGAGCTCACAACTCCCTTTTCAGCAGAGCCAAGGGTGAAGCCACCTCTGGCAATAAAGACAAGGGCAGATGGATTGTTTGTCCATCAATCTCTTCCCTACACCTTATGCAGACCTGGCACTATTAAACTCAACATTCACTATTTGAACACACAAATACAATGTTGCTCTTTAAGTTATGTAGCTTACACAGTCAAGAGATTTTTCCTTGGTGTTTGTCAATGCACAACTGTATTTTCTTTACAATTGTAATGTATTTATTTCAAAACCAGAGCCTCATTCCTTTATCAGAACTACAATTCAGGACTACACATAAATACTACATACAAATAGCCACCAACACAGTCAGTGTGGAGTCTTACAGCACAGCTAACAGAACACAATTCAGGATCAGCTGCTAATGAAAACTACAAAAAGAAGAAATGCAGAGGCAGAACTTACTCTCAGTGAATGGCACAAAACGCAGCAGAGAAGAATTGAGCAGCTGAGCTCCTCCAGTGCTCTGAACAAATACAGAATACTCAGTATAGATGGCCTTGAACTCCTCTGTCAGCTCACAGGAGAGCTGGGCAATGCCTGAACACTGCTGAGCACTCATCCAGTCCTGGCTCCTGCAGGAAAGAGCAAGAGTCTCACTGCTCTGATGTGAGAAGGCATGGCAGTGTGAGGAGAGCATCTCAAGGGAAAAAAAACTCAGGAAAACTAAGAAAAAAACCAAGAAAAACAGAGAAAACCTCAGCCTTATTATTTTCAGTGATCCCTGGTGCTGGCACAGCCCTGCCAGCCCATGCAGTGCCAGCTGTGCCCACCTTGTGCCCAGCCCAGAGCACTCAGTGCCACCTCCAGGGGACACCTGCAGGGATGGGCACTGCAAAGCTCCCTCCTCTTTGGGTCAATAACCACAAAAGCAGAATTTGTGCCTTATTTTGTGTGACTTGCCTGTAGTCTTTGTAGAGCACGTTGTAGGATGCTGGCACAGCTGGGTCATGTTCTGCCTGCCAGGACAAAATGTGCTGGAAATTGTGGGAGTCTATCTGGAGGTTGTAAGGAAGCCCCTTTCTCTCTAGAAAGGAAAAAATAACACAAAAAAAAAAAACCAACAAACAACTCTGAGCTCTGCAACCATTCTAATAAATAAACAAAGCCATTTAGAGCAGCTCAGGATTTGCCCCAAAAAGCAGCCGAAGGGGAGAGCTCAGCACAGCAGACACAGCAATGCAAAGCACTGTGCACATGGATTACATTTCTCTAAGTTCTTTCTCCAAAGAGCATGAAGTTCAAAATGATGATGGGTGAGGATGTGCAAGCTATGAAATGTGTTAGGAAAAGCATTTTAGAGATGGTAACACTCTTACCAGGCAGGCTGCAAACAGCTGCAGACAGAAAGGTGAGGCACACTGGAAAGTGAAACTCTGTATTAATGCTTTGGTGTATCCATCCACAGCACCTGACTTTCATTGTAATTACTCTTGAAGTTTTTGTTCTGACCCCTCTAATTTTCTTTTTTCTCAAGACCCTTCAGCCTCCCTTTTGCTTTGAGTGCAACAAAGAGAAACTTCCTGTTCTTGTTTTAAGGCGTTTTGGTGGTCATGCCTCTGACTCAGGAAATGCTGACTCCCACACCCAGTTGGCCAAAGCAGTCACTGCTTTAATTCTAAACACATTTCTGTTTTACATAAACTCCATGGGAAAATCTGGACAGTTCCTTCCTTATCTTCCCTAAAACTCTGTTTTGTCTTGACCTGTTGTTTTAAAAAGATGTGCCACAGTCAGCATGACTATGAAAAGAGAAATCTGGGCCTTGAATTAGAGAATTTGAACAATCTTTATGTAGATTCATAAATCATGGGTTTAACTGCAGCTAAATGTAGAACAATGGATTTCTTACCAGCTAGGAAATCACCCATTTGGAAAAAAAGTCCAGTGGGGATAAATCAAGCAATATTTTAGCTACTATTATTATTATTATTATTATTATTATTATTATCTGAACGCAAGCTCAGATTTGTAATAAATTGTGTCTGCTGAATTGCTGCTGCATTCCAGTTGGCATTATTTGATTTTTCAATGCCTCTTCTGCATCCAAAACAAATTCCTTTCAGTTCAGAGCTCAAACTGCCTCTGAACTTTGTTTCAACAAACAAGTTTAGCAAAGGAAGTTGAGCAGTTGCAAAACTGTTTGTGCTACACTCTTACAAAGGAGACACAGCCAAGATAAATATCTGAGAACGAGTAACTGGGAGAGTTCAGCCTGGGGAAACAGGGATGGTCTGGAATCTGCCTGGGGAATCCTCTGCAGCATCTCTGAGTTTCTACCACCCTGGCAGTGTCCCAGGCCAGGCTGGACACTGGGGACAGTGGGGGGTGTCCCTGCCATGGCAGGGGTGGCACTGGGTGGGCTCTGAGGTCCCTCCCAACCCAAACCAGTCTGGGGTTCTGGGATGATGATCTGACCCTTTTTACAGGATTAAAGGACCCTAACTAACAAATCCCCTTCTCACAACAAGTACAGCTCAGCCAAACTGAGCTTGTTTCACCTGCTGATCCAGAAACTGAGGAGTGCCGGAAAAACTCAGATTAAAAAAATAAAAACACTCACACGTACCTGAGAGTTCCTGGGCTTGCAGGGAGGCAGAACCATGGGATGGAATGGCCTGGAAGGGACCCAAAGCCCACTCTGGGGCCAGAGTCACCAGTTCAGGCATGGAGGAATCAGGCATGAATCCCAGACTAA